AGCATGACGAGACGTGCAGGAGTTGTTGTTTATGAGACAAGACTGGACAAAAACTATGCTCAAAAAGCACATTTCTGCCTGTACACTACTGATGTTAGCTAGGAAGATTTAAAAAAATGATTCCCCTTATCATAGAACATTTTCTGGTCTTCTATGATTTATGGGGATTTAATTTTCATAACCTGCAACTCAATATATGATTAAGTGTAGCAAATGTAACGTGAAAAGGCAGAATCATTACAAGCCTTTAGGTTTGACAACTTTTTTCCTGAACATTTTCGATTTGATAACTTTTTTCTTGAAACTTTTTGATTTGGCAAATTTTTTCTTGAAGCCTTTTGGGTTGACAGCTTTTTAAAAGCTGTTTTGCTTGATGATGTTTTTCTTGAAGCCTTTTGATTTGATAACTTTTGTCTTGAAGCCTTTTAGTTCGACAGCTTTTTTTCCCTGAAGGTGTCTTCTCTGATTCTTTTTTCCGATGTTTTTTTTCCCTACCTGACTCTATTTAGTCAGAAATCTGATGGGTTTATGAATAAAACTTCCTCTCTAACAACTCAGTCCCCAGGGGAGTACTCAACCCTCTTCACTGTGTCAGCAGGGAGGAGCTTTCTACTACGCTTTGCTTTAACAGTTAAAACATCATGAGTGAATTTGGGGATTTTTTTATATTACTGATAAAAACACAGTGTTTATTTTTTACTTTCATGATCTGATCCTACCTTAGCTCTCTATTTTGTCCTCATTAATGTTCTATACTGTAGCTGTCGGTACTGTTTTGATTCAAAAGAAGTGTTCATTCAACTAATTGGGCCTATTTATGTCATGTTTACTCCCCACACCCCCAGCTACACCCCACATAAACATTTTTTAGCTTTCACGTTGACTCTGTTTCAATTTGGAGTAATGAGGTCTGCAGGGGCGGAACGTAGTTTCTATGAAGAAATGAAAATGGCCTCAGGGCAGAACCTTTTCTCTTATGGTTGCTTTATATGCTGGCTTGTCATCCTGTCTCACTACTCAGCTTCTGTCCGTGTGCTGCTCTGTCTCTAGGCTCTCTTTTTTGTGCCTTTTAAACAAATACTGCAGTTATTTGAAGATACATGCAAAAACATGTTGTTGAGCAGCGTGATGCTTATGGTTCTGGAGCAAACGTTGGCATGAACTGACTTGGACACACTTCAGGTACTTTGTTACTGATGTCCAGTCACTACTTTGGGTTTATGACCTGTTTATAAGATTTTCCTGTTTGGCATGTTGCTACTAGTTGATCCTGGTTTTAGGTTTGAGTTTCTGTGTTGTCTTCTTTTGGGAAGGAAAATGTGGAAGACAGTTTAACCTCAGGGCAGGTTTCTCACAAATAACATTCCTTCCTCCTTATTTCTCGTTCCCTCTAGCTGTTGTGCTTTCTGTCTTCCTCTGTGGAGATATCGCTGCCTTGAGGGTGAAATTTTAAAGGTATAAAGCATTCCAATGCTATTCGTCATCTATAAATGTTGACTCTTTATTGTAGTTTAACTTTTAGTTCCAGAAAACGGTGATGGATAAAACAAATGGCTTTTTATAAGAGATGGTAGGGGACATTTTGTAAGTGTACATGGTGAGGTTGTGTGGGGAACAGTGTGGCTAAAATTAGCTCCAGTCCATCTAGTAAACGGCAACAAGCTACATCTAGTGCGATTGCACTTTTTGTAATAATGTTGCATTGCATTTGTCTCACTAACGCCTTTCCTCTATTGTTATGTGCAGTTCTTTGTATCATGAATCTTTAAGAAAGAGAAAATCAGAAGCAAACTTTAGGAGTTGTCTACACTGCAAAAACAGATTTCTAAAAAAGTAAGCAAGGCTGATTCTGAGACAATTTTATCTTATTTTAGAGAGAAAAGTTTAAGGGACAGTGTGTATTTTTCATGGCTATAAGGGGCAGTAGATGCCTAAATTGTTGCAAGCAAGCAGCATTTTTGTGATGTGTCAAGACCATACCAGTGGATGCCCATTAGGGTCAAACTGCCCTGGGGAGTGCAAACTAGCAAAAACCAAGCATATCAGACTCATCACTGGCAACAAGTGAAGAGGTAAACGTGCAAAACAACATTTAAGAATGACGAACGTTTTGTTACCATTTGTTACAAATTACTAAAGGCATTTTGTCCTCATGGGCTCCTGTAGAAGGAAACATGGCATCTAATCTGGCGTCGCCCAGAGACTTGCCCACTCCATGTATTTTAGACCTGATTTTTATGGTTATATGTTATTAAGCCACTGATGTTTTTACACAACTGGGCATCACTTCATTCATTTTCAACAACATTTTGATGGATATTTCTTGAAATTAATGGTAAAAACTACACATTGTCTTTAATAAAAAAATTTGGTGTCTGGTGTTAGCTTATAAATGTAACATTAGATCATTCTGCTAGTTGAGAATATATGCCAAACATCTATTGTTTACCCCACTAGTGTAGAGGCAGGGAAACAACTAAAACATGTCCTCTGGGAAGGAAGTTGCCAATCCCTGGCCTACACCCTAGGGTTAGGGTTAGGACCTACAGTTACAGCGCAGACACCTGACTCTTTTCTGCCCAACATGGCCCTCTGGTGTACTGCCTATGGGGTGACAGGTGATGAAAAACAGACCACAGGGTGTGTTTCAACAACAGAGGGTGCTCACTTTTCACCCTCAGTGGAAAGTTTCATGCCAACACAACAGAGAAGGAGGCTATGATTTAAAGTCCACCTTTAATTGCTGTTTCTCCTACCGTGGAATTGTTGACCAGCTTTTTTACCACTGCCAAGATGGTGGAAAGGTCCGGGGGGGGGGGGGGGGGGGGGGGTTGCCTAAGTCCTGCATGTGTTGTGTGGATTTAGAAAAGGCTCTTGACCAAAAGTACATCATAAATGTAGGTGGCTGAAATGTTTTTTATCTACAGGTTGGCTAGGCCTAGCTTTACAGATAAAGGAGCTAGGATGTCCAGGAGGAACCTGGAGTAGAGCTGCAGCTTCTCCACGTGGTGAGGAACTAGCTGAGGTGGTTCAGGCATGTAATCTGTGTGCCTCCCGAGAGAGAGATGATTGTTTAAGTCCTGCCAGGAGGAGACCCTGTGGAAAACTCGCCTCCCACTAGAGGAATTATATCTCTAGGCTGGCCCAGAGACAACTTGGGGTCCCTGATCAAATAGTGCTGAAAATGATTGAGGGGAGGACATTTTGAGTAATGTTTTGCATTTGGTCCAGAGGATTAATCGGACATACAGTAGAAGTTCAAGTGGTTCAAACGGGTTGGTACTAGCTATTATTTGCTATCCTTGTCCTCTCTGCATTGTGTTTATAATTCTCTGCCTTCACCTTATCTTGTTTATAGGCAAACATGCTAAAATATGCCTTATGTGCTACCTAATGTAGTTGTCTTGTAAAATCCAACATGCATGCTTTATGTGCATACCTCACATTTTATTTGACTGTGTTTTGTGGCGGTGTTACAGTGCCACAGGCCTGTCACAGTTCAGTCATTTTGTGTTAATCAATGAATTGACTAATTTTAGTTTAGATAACGATCAACTGTATTAATTCTGTGGGAAGGTTCGTCTAGAAGATTCAAATTCCAGCTGTGACAAATCGACAGAATAATCAGTCATTGTGGAAAAAGATATAGGACTAATGGGAAAATATGGAAATGTATCAGCAGCATCATGATGGCGTTTCTAGAATGAGTGGTGTGTTTAAACAATAGATGTAAAAACTACATTTGAGTTGTTTTAGAAAGGTAAAGAAAGAAAATTATCTTTTATAACGCCCCTCTCAAGATAAAAATCATGAGCTGCCTCACAAAAACAAAAAAATTAATTAATTATAAAAAATATCTTAAAAAATAAGATTAAAAACATGTTTAAAATTAAATTAAAAAATGTGATTAAAAACATGTAGACCACAGGAAAGGCGGCGTAGGAGCAAGATAAGGAGAGGGTGGTGATGAAGGTCCCACCAAAGCCTGAACAGGTGAGTTTAAAGGAGACCACTGAGTCCACTGATCTCAGGCTCAGGGGGAGAGAGGTCCAGAGTCTGGGGGCCAAAGCAGCAAATGATCTGTCACCTTTGACCTTTAGCCTGGTGCTGCACAACCAGTAGGCTTTGGTCACTGGACCTCAGGGACCTGCTGGGGGTGTAGGGACTAAGAAGATCACCAATGTAAGATGGTGCTTGTCCATGTAAGGCCCTATAGACCAGAACCAGGATCTGGATGTGTTTGTGTGGACAAGGTCCTACACCCTGGGAGCACTGAGTCACTCTCACTGATAATTTATGAATAAATGACATCACAAGTGAAAGTTGCTCTGCAGTATTACACAGATTCCTGAAACAGGTTCAGGTGCAAAGCAACAGCACTCAGAAAATTTGTATTCACAAGAAGAAACGGTACAGCACTTGTTTATTCTACGTAAACATCTAGCAAGTCTCTTTAGTTTCATGAGTTTGTTACAACAGTGGTGGTGAACCATTGGTGTTCGCTATTATGCAAAGTAAAAATATGTGACCACACACACACACACACACACACACACACACACACACACACACATCAAACATTCAAATGCTAAAAAAAAGTCTCCATAACTGCATCAAATTGTTCCTTATACATACTTTTTCTGAACATGTGTATATTTGGGACAAGTCTCCCACAGTTGCTGCTTTTTCTCTTGACTTTACTGGATGGAACTGGTTGGTTTCATTAGACTCAGGATCTTTATAGTGAGGAGGATGCAAACGAGTTGAACTAATTAAGGTATTAAAGAGCTGACCTCACTGGTTCCTTTTGTCTTGTGCCATGTATGTTTGTCATGCTAGGCTGTATAAATGTGCGTGGACGTGTGTGTGTGTGTGTGTGTGTTTGCATATTTGTGTGTGAGTGTAGCTTTGCTCGTATCAATGTGTCTGAGTCTCACCAGTCTTCTTCTGTCCTGTCCTGTGCTTTCTCTCCTCCTGTGTGTGTTCATGTGTGTGTGTAGCTATCGGTACACAGCGGAGGAGGAGTCACAGCACCATTGCGTCTGAGATCTTTGAACCTCACCTGGGTAGCCACATTTTACAGGTAAGATGTGTTCAGTGTTTCTGCATAATTTACAGTTTTTGTTACACCGTTACACCGTGCTAAGTATGGTCCTCATAAGCCTTAACATCACGTCAACACACGGCCAGAAGATCACCTGTGCATACTTTATTTCATTATTTCTTGGTTTATTTCGTCCCTCAAGAATATTCATAACCCTTTTCAGTGCAAGTGACCATTTTGTTTTTAAATTTAACAGTATTATTTTACTTATGTAAACTTTATTTAACCAGGTGAGTTGACTGAGAACTCAAAATGATGACCTGACCAAGAAGCAGCAGCAAGAGCAAGAAAACATGAAACAAACATGTTACAAAAAGATAAACGCACATATGAAGTAATAATACATGTAAAGACCCATTCTACACAAAATAGTCAGAGCAATCAAGACAGTCTGAAGTACGGATGTCCCGTTCTGATATTGATATTGAATATCAGCCCCAAAACACTGTCGGATTATATCGGACTGCATCAAAAATGTCCAATATTAGCAGCCAGTTCTGCTTTAAACTGCATTCCAGCAGTTCTATCCATCAGCACCCAGATCCAGCATGTAAAGTCCACCTGATCGGAACAGTGTGTGCAAGCAAAGTAGCAAGGAACAATGTCGGCCACGTGGCTGTATTTTTTGTTAAAGTCCGAAAAAGACATTTTGGCTCAGTGCAACACTTGTCATGAACAAGTTTCCCGTGGTGGAACAGAGCCGGGGAAGAATAATACGTCCAACCTCATCGTGCATTTGAAGCAGGACCACACAACGCTGCAGGAGGATTTTCTCAGCGTGTGAAATTGAAACTTTTAGACACTTAACTTGTAACGGTTGATCAGTGAACAATAATGTGTTCTGTTCCTCATGTCCCTAAGCTTAATAACCAACCAAAGCTTAATAAAATATTGGTCAGTTTTTTATATTTTCTGTTGCTGGCTTTTGTTTTCTGTTTGAGTAAAATCACTTGATCAAGCCTTTCATACATTCCACACCGTGAAACAGGTAAATGTACGTGTGATTTGTGCTGATATCATATCAGATTGATATCGGTATTGGTCATTACTGAGGGCTGCAATGTTGGTATCGTATCAGAAGTGAAAAAAGGGTTTGGGAGCAATCAAAGAGATTAGCTTACTGAAACATAAATTACAACGGTTGTTGGAAAGTTGAGTAGTGAGTGAGTGAAGGTATGAAAGAATTTTTATATGAGAACTGTTATCAATGGCTCATTTTAGAAGACAAACCATGCTGGCAAATGAGTGTAATACTGCCACCACGGTGAGTCTTACGAAAGCGCCGTGGTGGCATGGTGAAATGGACTTTTGCAGCATTTGTTCCATCAAGCTTGGTAGTAATATTGCTGCAATATTTACAGAGTTACCGGCGAGCTCCAGTCAGCAGCTACATTGAAAATGAAAGTAAACATGTGCATAAGTTTCACTTTTGTAAACAGAATCAGCTGAAATGATCATCTGGAGCAATGCCGAGCTCCTGGAGCTTTCCTCCGTTAGAGCTGGGGCTCAGACCAACAGACACTACGGGTGGGAATCAATGAGTTTTTATCAGTATCAATGGCATTGTCCATTATGTCTCGATCCAATTCCAGAGGAGTTCAATAGGTGGCAACAAACTAATAGCACACGGCGTCCTGCATTATAACATTTGGTTTATTTATGATAAATGATCAGTTGTACCTGTGTTGATTAGAAAGATCTTTCCAAATGTTCTCCTTTACGCTCCTGTGAAAGCAGAGTCATCTTCTTGTTCGGTGCGGTGTTGCTGTAGCTTTAGCAGAGTGGGAAAAATCTCACCACAGGTTGGCCTTTAGTCGCTGGAGTCTGCTAGTGTGGATGAGAGGCAGTGTTAGTCGATGAGTTACCTGCAGTATTAACGGGAGAGGACGTGTGAACGTCATCGCTGCTGCTGCGTTGAAATTCACTAGTCCAGAGCGGGTCCAAACATGTCATTAACTTTGTTATCACGTATTTTGTGACCAAATGCTTTTGTAAAGTCGTAGTGTTTCCACCCTTGATGAAATATTTACTTTGCAAGTTTTGCATGTTGCCCTGTTGTCCTTTCTTGTAAAGTATAACCAAACTTTCGAGTGTTTGTGCCACTTAGATGCCACGTTTGCTGCCCCCGTAAGCTACACAACATGCGTGGTGACGTAATTCTCGCCAGTTGGAATTGATAAGGTGAATCATTTGCTAAAGTGGCGAACGATTCCTTGGAATTGAAGCAATGGGACCCGGTCCTCCACAACAACCATCATTGTGTAATCTTTCATAAAAAGGACACGATTTCACCACATTACTGCCAGTCTGTCCACTTATAAATGATCTAAGGCTCCCAGATGCTAGCTTGATGTTGTGGCAAATTGGCAGCATTGTTTTCTAAAAGAGGCTAATGTAACATCCCCCAGGAATGGAGTGATGGCCAGGTAAAAAGAGATCACAGTGATGGGTGTTGAAAGGGACACCAGTGACTAAACAGAATGCAGAGTGACACATTTAATAAAATTTATGTAAGAATTTTAAGAGGCTGTCTTATAGACTGTCACCCTAATCTAAAAAGGGTAATGAATGTAATTATTACCAGGTTGTGCTTTACAGAATGAGTGAAGGACGACCTACTGAGATACATGAAAACAATCTATGATTTGACTTTAGAAACTAAAGGTAGTTTTCTATGAGCACTACTCAGAATAACAGACTGGTGCAGCTCAGCTTGAACACAGTTTCCAAGGGCATGGTTTTGTACCTTCCTTCCACTCACTCCTCAATTGTAGTCCCTGCTCCGTTGAGGTACCTGGCGAGGCTGAGTCTGGCTGGTTTCACAACTGTGGCAACTGATTGGCTAAGGAGCGAAGTCGCTGGTTCTCCGGAGTTCTCTGTTGGCTGCTTCACTGCACTGCCTGCAGCCATTTCCAGGTTCAGAGTCTGACATTAGCTATGAAACTGAGCAGAATGTTCCTAAACACCACCAATTTGTGCTGAGTTGTGTGTCTGTGGCACATACAGACCATTTCACACACTGTATATATATATATATATATATATATATATATATATATATATATATATATATATATATATATATATATATATATATATTCCCCATCTCACCCTCCATGGGTGGTCCTCCTTCCAATCTCAGGTCTTCTACCAGAGGCCTGGGAGCTTGAGAGTTGTGTGCAGTATCTTCGCTGTTCCTTTAACTGCACTTTTCTGGACTGAGATGTCTGATGTGTTTCCTGGGCTCTGCTTTAGCCATTCCTCCAGTTTGGAGGTTACTGCCTTGAGTGCCATGGGCATCACCGATGTCTTGACTCTCCAGGCTTTCTCAAGTTCTTCTTTGAGGCCCTGGTACTTCTCTAATTTCTCGTGTTCCTTTGCCATGATGTTGCCATCACTTGGTATTGCCACATCAACCACAACAGCTGTACTCTGTTGTTTGTCCACCACCACAATGTCCAGTTGGTTTGCCATCAGCTTTTTTGTGGTCTGGATCTGAAAGTCCCACAGAAGCTTGACTCTCTTGTTCTCAACCACCTTAGGGAGTGTGTCCCACTTTGAACTTGGGGCTTCCAACCCATACTCTGCACAGATGTTTCTGTACAATATGCCAGCCACTTGGTTGTGGCGTTCCATGTATGCTTTCTCTGCCAGCATCTTACACCCTGCAGTTAAGTGATGGATTGTCTCAGGGGGCTCTTTACATAACCTACACCTTGGGTCTTGTCTGATGTGGTAGATCTTGGCTTCTGTTGCTCTGGTGTTTAGGGCCTGTTCCTGTGCAGCCTTGATGAGTGCCTCTGTGCTGTCCATCAGACCAGCTCTTCCTAGCCATTGGGAGGATTTCTTGATTTCAACCATTTCAGTTATCTGTTTGTGGTACATCCCATGTAGTGGTTTGTCCAAGCATGAAGGTACTTTTAGCAACTACTCCTCCTTTCCCCCTTGTCAAAGACATTTACTGAGATTTACATCATCTGTTGGGGCCTTATCCTTGATGCAGTTATGGATCTTGGATATTTCAACCTGGACAGCTGTCACACTCACTAGTCCGTGGCCTCATCTGTATGGCTACTGTACAGTCCCAGGGTGCTGGATTTGGGATGGAACCCACCATGCATGGTTAGGAGCTTCCGTGTCTTGTTCTTGCCATTGAGCTGACTTCTTAGGACTTGCCTTACTATTTGTAGGTATTTGATTGTGACTTATTTCCTTGCAGCCTCCTCAAGATTGCCATTTGCTTGAGGGATACCAAGGTACTTGTTGCCGTACTCAATGTCTGCTATTGTTCCTTCTAGGAGTGAAACCCCTTCTGTGTGGACTACCGTTCCTGTAACCATCGAACCACATTTCTCAATTCCAAATAACATTCCGATATCAGTATCCTGGTGGTGTGAATCAGTGAGTCGATGTCTAACTCACTCTTTGCCTACAGCTTTATTATGCCATCCATGTAGAGGAGGTGACTGATTGTGGTTCCATTCTTGAGTATCCATAGCCAGTCTTGTTGATCACTTGGCTGAGGGGTTTCAGACCAGTGCAGAACAGCAGTGGGGACAGGGTGTCTCCTTGGTATATACCACATTTGATGGAAACTTGTGAAACTGGCTTGCAATAGGCCTCAAGGGTGGTTTTCTACAGCCCCGTTGAGTTTACAATGAAGGCTCTCAGAGTCATGTTAATGTTGTACATCTCCAAGCAAGGTTGCCGTGGTTTTCTCTTAGAGAAGCTAGCCACTTTGCATTCCTGTTGTGTGATGCATCCTTCTCCCAAATGCCCTTCCAGTACTGTTCAGTCTCCAGCCTTGGTGGATCTGTTGTGCTGTTGTCAATGAGAGTACACTTTAGCTTGTTGGGTTGAGAAGAGCTGGTTTATTCATCTGGCTTCACACTCTCTCTTGTATCTCTTTAGGAAGCTGACAAAGGCTTGGATCCTTTGATTGGCAGGTTCCAGCGCCTCAGGTATGGGTTTCTTGTTGT